GGAATTCTGAATGTGTCAGCTGAGGATAAATCGACTGGAAAAACGAATCGGATCACAATTCGAAATGAGAAAGGACGATTGTCTCAATCAGACATTGATCGAATGGTTAACGAGGCAAAACAATTCGAAAAGGAAGATGGAGAACAACGAGAACGTGTGTTGGCTCGTAATCAGTTGGAGGCATATGCATTCCAAGTCAAACAAGCTCTTGATGAATACGGATCAAAATTGCCATCTGAAGATTCGAATCGTGCGAAAGAAGCTGTTGAAGAGACTCTCCGTTGGTTGGATTCAAATCAATTGGCTGAAAAGGATGAGATTGAGGCAAAGGATAAGGAATTGAAGTGTGTCTGTCAATCAATTCTCTCCAAAATGCATCAATCTGGACAGCAACAACCTTCTTCTGGATGTGGAAATCCTGGATTTTCTGGATTCAATTCAAACAACTATCCACAGGGACCAACTGTTGAAGAGGTCGATTAAATCATTTTTCTTTTTATTAATTCAATTATTTATTGTAGATCTCTAAATATCTTTTTGTGTGTTACGAGTTGAACTTTTCTTTGATTGTATATAAGATTTTAATTTCAATAAACTTGAAAAAATATAATCAAGAGTTGTTTTATTGACATTAAAAAGATGAGAAGAGAAATTGCAACTAATTTTTCGATTTCAATTTATGATACAAACAAAATTAGATCATTTTGGAGAAATTTATCATAATATGTACAAACATAATTATATTAAGGAAGAAAACAACGAAAATAAAATGTAACAACAAAATAAGAGTTTAATAAATAAAAGATCCCTGATTTCAAATGTTTTTGCATATCGGTACCTAGTCTTTCCATGTTCTAATCGTAATCATCTGGGATATTCAAGAACGATCCAATTGTCGGGAAATGAACAGCACTCATTCCAGCAGTTCCTCCTGCTCCTGCAGCTGGTACAGCCCAATGTCCTCCCCACTGAAGTTGTCCATTCAACCAATCAACACCAACGGATTCCGGATGATACCAATATTTATTGGCTGGATCTCTCGAGTGAGGATCGGCAGGATTCGGTTCCCAGAGACCAGGTTTTGTGAAGGGAGATCTACTCCGAGGGGTGTGAACGAGACCACGACTGTCGGAAAGTCCATCGAACGCACGGAAGGTGTCATCGCCGCCTCCTCGTGCGGCGAATGCTGCGTCGGATGGAAGGATTGGGATGTTTCCTTGATGAGCTCTGGAAATATCACTATTTAGCTAGAATTTACAGAGTAGTGGATCTAGAATTTTGGAAACATTCTTGAATGCGATTATTGACCGTAAAACCTGTAATAGAAGGTCATCCAACTTTCAATTTGAAGCCAATTTATCTCGGTTCTTGTCAAAGATATAAAAAAGTTGTCAACTGATAAATTGTTTGTTATAATATCACAAACATTATCATTTGACACATTTTTGATATCTCTTTCAGCAGTCAAGATAATTGAGCTGACACTTGACAGTATCCGAGCCCTTCTATTACAAGTGGAACGGTATGTTGTTTTCCAATAAAACTCGCTTGGCTCTACCACTCGATGCCTTCTTTTGTGGAACTGCTTTCCCTGGATTCTCATCTACTATTGCCGTAGTCGCTGCTGATGATGAAAATGTTCTTGGCTTGATTTCTGAAATCTTTCTCTCTGAATCTAAACTAAAAAATCCGAACGTACTGTTGAAATCTGGTTCTTCTTGATCTTCCTCTTTATTCACTGTTTTCTCCTCTACTTTTTCAGTAGCCACTGCATGAACTATGTTTTCAGTCAGTGTCTTTGGATCCGTTGCTGAAGGTTTCCTTATGAGTCAAACAAGTTATGTGTCTTTTTAGAGAAAAGACGTTTATTAGACAAATGTGTTATGAAACTTTATTAATAGGTTAAAATTGTACAAAAACATGATTATAGTGTTAAATGGTTAATAAATGGTAAAAAAGACAGTATTGTTATCCATAATACCCACCAACTGCAGCCCATTGTCTTGCAGTTTCATCTCTTTCTCTTTGTGGCTGAGTTACTGAAGCCAGAAGGCCGTCTAGTCCTCCTCGGGCGGATGGATCATTGCCACCTTTCAGAGTAGCTGGGGAACTTTTTATTCCAAGAGCTCCAGGTCCAGAGGTCAAACCGTTTAGTTGTCTGAAAATCAGATTTCGATATATTGAAGTTTCGAATTATCTTGATTTTTTTTCTACTTTCCGAATTCCAGAGCTCGCACATGAATTATAACTCACTTCAAAACCCTCCACAACTCTCTGGGCGTGGGCGGTCTTGCCGTAGTGGATCTTATCTCAAAATCCTTATCCGAATTGTATCGTTGACGATGACGACGTCTTCTGCGAAGCTTCTTCCTTCTCGACCTCCTCTTCTTCTCTTTACTCTTCATCGATTCTTGATAATTTTGAAGAATTGCTCTCGACTGTGGAGCAGTGAGCGAGACTTCCTCTCTGAAATTTTCTCTTTCTCAAAACTTGTCTTCAAAAATAAATGCTGAATACCTATCTTTCTCCTCTGGAGAAGACGATTTTGCTACTCGAACATTAGCGGATTCTGGGACTGGAGGTGGAACCACCAAATCTTCATTATTTCTGAAAATTGGGTCACACATACAAATTGAAACTATTGGAGAAACGAAAATAGAAAATTACTCCGAATCTTCCTCGGTGTCTCTCTTTTGACGACGAATCGGAGCCAGCGCGAGTGCTCTATTTCTTCGGAGTGGAGCTGGTTGAGGGAGGCCATAAGGATTGACAGCACTCTGTTCAGGAGTTCCGGCTAGAAAAACAATGAGGTGTAATGAGTGGTGACGTTGATATGAAGGCCTAAATTTTATCAGAAAAGTTTTCTAGGCTTGGTGGCCTAACTTTTGCAAGTTGAGTTTTTTAGGCCACCAATATTTTTGGCCTCAAAATGGTCTTATATTCAATGAGAAAACTTACGCAACACTTTTCCTTTTTCAGCCTTGGAGTAGACAAATTGAGAGGAATAATGGTATCGCTCGTACTTCGGACATCCATGATACCATAATCTTTAAAAAAAATAAATTATCTAGAAACAGTTCCTACTTAATTACCTGCAAGTATTCAAGAAGAGTGGCATTGGTGGTGGATTACAGAATCGTTGAACCACTGGATAGATATAATCACACTTACATTCCTCTGTACAATGCGCGAAAATTCTCTTATCGCAGTCCGGTTTGCATGGGTATCTTTTCTGGAATAAAAAGTTTATATGGTATGGTCACTATATATTACAATTCGATTGCAACTCACTCTCAGTTCTGCATAATAAATCTCCTCGTCTTCTGCAGAATCGGAATCTTCATCACTGTAACGTCTTCTTGGAGTTGGTCTTGCTCTTCCAACTGACACAGGTCTACTCGTCACTGTGATTTCTTTCTCAAATGGATCCGTGGGCCAGGAAGTCAGAGATACTGATGAGGTAACGGCTTTATGTCTGCAAGCCGTCTTGTAACTTGGACAGAATTTTTTGATGACATATGCATTTTTGTCCGTTTTGTCAGTCTCTCCAACACAGAAATATTGGAAATGCTGCTCGAATCGATCACAGTAATCATCTTTGCCACCGTCAAAGTGCTCAATTTTGTCTCCGCGATTTCCGCCTCCTTCTCTCTGAAAAAACCAGCATACTGTAAAACCTGTCATAGAAGGGCCCCTAACTTCAAAATGAACCAATTTATCTTGCTTCTTGTTATAGATTTGAAAAAGCTGTCAACTGATAAATTGCTGATCATAATATCACAATCATCTTATCAGTTGACACATCTTCGATATCTTGAATAAGGGGCAAGAAAAATTAGCTCAAACTTCAATGCCCTTCTATTACAGGTTTTTTAAAAATCAATTACCTCATCATCTCCAGAAATCAAATCCCCGCTGTCTGATTCCTTTTCCCTCAAATCGGAACTTCTCTCAGTTTCGAATGGGTTCCTCTTAACTCTCTTCACTGCTCTGGCTATTTCCAAAAGAACTCTTCGGTCAGAATCCGTCACTTCATCATGATTTATGGAAAGTTCATAGGCAGACGACGTCAGAAAAACTGAGAATAGGACACCAAATGAGAGTGCCCATAAGCACCCGAATCTCATTGAAAATTGCTGTTTTCTGGAGAATCCGGATATGATAGGAAATGGGACTTCTGAAATGCTAAAAATTGGAAGAGTGTTCAAAACTTCGAAACAACAAAAAATTATATTACGAAAGGGAAAATTGGAGAACAATGAATAATCACTTTCTTCGTTTTCGATTTTTTTTGTCTCTATTATCTCAAAAAAGGGAGAAACGGGTTGAAGATGAAGTCATTTCTCAAGTAGAAAAACGAGGTATCATCACCCCAATTTTTGTAATCTTTTTTTGCTTTATTCGCCTCTCCTTCTTAATGAAAAATTTGGGCGATGATCAGGTGAAACGGGAGATTTAGAGAGATTGATCGGGGGAATCACATATTGAAGTGATATTAAACTGATAATAATTGTTGGAAGTTGAAACAGTAACTAGACATAAGGTGTCTAGACACTTTTTGATTGACTGGAAAAGTGATCTGTTGAAGATATAAAAAAGTTGTTAACTGATAAACTGATTATCACAATATCAGAAGTGATTTGTCAGTTGGCACATTTTTGAAATCTTTCATAAAAATTGAGATAATTGAGCTCAAACTTGACAATGTGAGGGCTCTTCTATTACAGGTTCTACGGTATCTGGGAATCAGAAGTTTGACAATTGAGAATTAACATACATCATTCTTACAATTAGAGTCTGTAGCAACTAGGATAAATTTTTGTGTGAGTATTTCATTTACTCAAACAGGAAAGTAGTCTACGCATCTTGTGAAATCCTTTGTCAATTCTTATAGAGCTTATTTTTAAATAAAAACTACTTGTTAACATTTCGACATGAAGTTGCTGAGGAGGGGATCTTTTATTAGAGGGAAATCGTTTTTGGTGAGAGTTTCTACTGGAAATCCATCAATAATTTCATTACAATAAAAAAAATCACCTATATTAAAGGAAAACAAGAACCAAAAACAAAAATCAGTTGACCACATTAATCGATGTGTCACTATCAGTGATTTAACAAAAGGGCGCTTCACTTAGAGGGATCCTTCAATTTCAGGGGCCCTTCTAATACAATTTTTACGGCACTTGAAAATTATATGGCAAATATGTTATATCGCTCATTCCTCCTGATCCATGGATCAACCGATCCATCGATTTCAATATTTTAGTTCGAAAATCAACTAGAGAAAAGGCGCAAGGACGGTTACGCAATACAGTGATACAGTGAAAACGACGGCATCCGTTCTGATAAGGTGATAAGCAGAAGCCTCATTGAGAAGCAGCGTGTATCACTTAACACTAAATCAACTGATCCATTTGACGAAAAAATGGGGAGGAGTCAGTTGGGGGAAACGAAAGAAGATGTACCGATCGGGGTGTGTGTATGAATAAGTACTGTGTGCTAATACGTGAATTCACAAAATGATTGATTATGAGAGAGAAGAGATATGGCAACTTTTGGGTTGGATATCTTTGAAGAACACGATTCGAGGTGAGGAGAGGAAAGAGAAGATCAAAAGTTTGACGTCAAAATCGGCTATTTTTGGAGATGGGAACGGAAGGAGAAGGAGGCAGATCTTGTGATGAACAAGTTAAATTTTGAAGTTAAGTTAAGTAACCAGAAATCGAAATGGAGATCTCGTGATATTGAAAATGTGTCAGTATTGTAAAATCAAGAATAAAATGTGTTTTTAGTACATTAAACTTTGTGAATAGGACTCAAATAAGCTATATTTTTCTTCAAAATTCCTAGTTTTCAGTTGTTTGCCGATTTTTGAAAGACCCCTACCTTTTTTCATTTTTTTTTCAGTACAAACACAGGAAAAAGGGGTCCAAAATTCTGCGAATGCAAACTCAGGCGCCGCCGGTTACTTCTGGCCGGAGCTTGGTCAGATTCCGGCAAAGACCCCCCCTCAAAATCAAGTGAAAAACGCGTTTTTGTATTCTTATTAACCGGTACTGTAGAATCCTTTCTATTGTAGCCTCGCCGAGAATTCTGTTCTACAGTATCCGTAGTTTTTATATGTTGAGTTACTCTGCAAAACCATTGTATTCTTCTCCTCAACTTCATCTCTTTGATCCTGTGACGTAATGTGTAAAATCTAAAACACAAAACTCCCACACACTGCACCCACTGGCTTACAATTCTTCACCTTAATTTCGTCCATTCATCTCAGTTTCCCATATCAGTTTGTCTATGAAATACGACCCTGATAACCTGTTTATCTCCTTTTTTCCTCCTCTTTAAAGAACAAAATTGTTGTATATTACACTAAAAAATGCTTCTGGGTTGATTCTGCAAAATTAGAAGAAGAAGCCTATTTTGATGAACAATTATTTGAATTTATTGTTTATTTATTACTAAACACGAATGACAACGAAATGAACAAGAAATTGCAAAATAATAATATAATAATATAAAGAGACCCGACTGAGAAATTAATAAAAACAAAATGGAGAATTAAACATGAACTTCCTGGGTCCTCCCTGTTAGTATGGACCATAACGACTGCCAACTTTCCATAGACGCCAAAGCTCCGAAATCGATAAATCTGAAGAATTCGATACTGCTAAAATTTTTGAATGTTAATCTCGAAATTCGAAATTTCAAAAGTTTGTAGTTCTGATAGTCAGAGATTCTCTAGAAAAACAAAGGCTTCTGAAGTTCTGTGTTTTTGGAATTACAGAGAAATAAGTATCTTAAAAAATTATGTTTAAAATGTGGAAATTTTCGCTGATATTTGGGAATCTCAGTACTTTTTTAATGGAATAGTTTTCAAAATGGGTTTTTCTCTGTTTCATATTATAGGCTTGAGTTAAAACGCCGTTTTTCCTGCGTTTTCAAACAAAAAAATACTGGAAAAAATTTCAGCGTAAATAGTGAGAATTTCGCTGCTTTTCGCGAATTTCTGTACTTTTTTTAACTGGATTTTTTCAGAATATTTTGCTGTTTTGTTTAAAACTATAGGCTTAGACTGAAACACATTCTTTCCTTTCACTGAGAAACCCGAAGAATAGCGCCAAACACAAAATCTCAGGAAAACTTTTTTGTTGTCAAAGTTTTATTTTCTCAAAATCCCTTACCGAATCTTGCTCAAATCCTTTGGAGCATATGCTCCTTTCACAATAATCGTATCATGCGTTTTTTTCTGTCCATATTTTTGTTGTAAAACACTTGCATATCTCATCAAATCCGGAACATGGACCATCTTTCCACCAACATTTACAAGAGCGAATCGAGCGTCCTAAAAAACAAGATTTTGGATCGTTAGTAGAAAAGGCATAATTACTTTAATGGCTCTTCCAAAATAATGCATTTTTCGAATGTATTGAATACCCACCAAATCGATACACATGGTGCTGAAAATTATTCGGTCAGTTTTTTAGGTCATCTTTTATAGCTTAACTTACGTAATAGATAATCCTATGATAATATAACACAGATCCAAAATATAATATTCTCGTTTCAAGGGGACAATATCTCCGAATCCAACAGTTGTCATTGTGATAAAACTGAAATAGAACCCAGAAAAGAAATCCCATCCTTCCCACATGCTCAGAACAACAGCTCCAAATGTTATGTAGCTCAGAAGAATGGCAACAATTAGGAATATAGGAATCGAGATGTAGTTTTCCAAGTGATCCTAAATTTTAATAAAATTTGAAAGAATACACATAGATATCAAATTAACAAACCAAATTCAAATCTCCCTCTTTATTCTTGTCATCCTTGTTTGAAATTACGCTGTACTTTTGTTTCGAGCACTTCTCTCGCAGTTTTCGATACCTCAAGAAGATCTCTTGATTTCTTTTTTTCGCAAAAAAAGCTTACCATGTATACAACTGAACAATATTCTCGGACAAGAACTTTCCGATATCAGCAACGGTTATCAAAATCAGTGGGACACCAAACAGTGCATACAGAATGCATAGAAATTTTCCTCTTCCTGTGACAGGTGTCAAGTTACCGTATCCAATGGTAGTGAGCAAGGTGGTAGTGAAGAACAATGCGGTCATATACGTCCAGTTGTACTGTAAAACGGCAAATATTTCACAATTGGGTTACCCTCTAATAAAGTGTCACCCAAACTTCAAGTCCATATATTTCCGATAAAATATATCAAAAAATAGTAAACTGAAATGTTGGTGATAGATTGATAAATATTTTGTCAGTTGACCGCTTTTTGATAGATTCAGAATGAAGCGAGATAATTGAGCTCAAAGTTTTCGGTGCACAGAACTCAAACACAAATGAACACTCACATCCTCATCCTCGCCACCAGGTCTCAAATGTTTTGCTCCGATGCAATGAGTGTCGAAGGCTTCGAATAGAATTCTGGTCACATTATCCACGTATTTCACAGCCATGTCTTCGACGACGTCTGAAAATTCATACCCCTTGTTTATCTAGAGATTCCGTAAAAGACGATTGCCAGGTTGTTATTTGTACAGGTTGCACAGATTTACCCGGACTTTTTGTACCAGCATAAAATTTCAATTAAACGATATATTTAGTTCAAATTTGGAATACAACAATTCGAAAAATTCATCCATAAACAGGCCAAGTTTCAAATTTCCTTATCAACGGTGAGCTGAGTTATCGCTTGTCAGAGTTGTTTCATCTCATGAAAATCACAACTGCAAGAATCAATTTGCCATTCATCTTTGAACATTCATACAAACCTAAGGCTTGAGAATTCGCTTTGAAAATTTCAGTAGCTTCGAATCAAACATAAAATTTTATTGATACCGGTTTTCGTGTTTCCAAGAAACTTATGTCTAAAAATAAAGTCTTATCTAAAAATAAAGTCTTATCTAAAAATAAAGTCTGTTTTTATCAGTCCGAATAATTTTACGCCACTATGTAACTACTCAATCATTAAAATTAGTTTCGGGGGTTTAAATCCATTATCTGCATTACCACATCTCCAAAGAATATTTCCCTTACACATTTTGTGAAAGATTTTTTGAAAAACCAACTACTCAGTTTTTCCTAAGATTTCCCACACCCATCATAACCCCGACTTACGTTGTCCAATTCCACTGCTTCTCATCTCCCATAAATGATCAATCATTTGCCTTTTGTGTATATTGAACCTCTCAATATTTCTTGCTCTCACTTCAACTTCATTCGGTTGCTCCAATTGATAAAACAGAAAAGCACCGAATCCAACATAAACAACTGATAAAACGATAAGACTGACATGAGCCAATATGATTCTAGCATAGCTCTTCCACGTGGCCATTGGTCGCTGTGTGATCTGAAAATTTGATTGATTGACGTTTGTAATACGACTGGGGGAATGTGGTTTTTCGTTATTTGGCTGGGAATCTGACAAAAAACTGTTCTTGTAGATTTTATTTCATTTAAAAATACATCATTTTCATTCTGATCTTGTCTTCTTCGCATATGATGATGTTGGTGCATCGAACGAGCAAACATGCCGACCCTTCCAGGGGTATACGGTAGATGAGAAGTCACAAATGGCATCTGAATCAGAGGAATAATAAAATAAACACATGAAACTTTTACAAAGATAGAAGGACACAGAGAGCTAAACTAAAGTTTCGTATTGTGAAACGTTTGTTCTGGTTGTTTCTGGTCGAAAAAAAGGTCATAAAAGTTGAAACATTCATCCTAAAGGGTGCGAATTGCTTCTTCTTCCTTTTTCTCGGTTTCCGAAAATGAGTTTTATTTTTTCTTTTCTTCTTCCTTCCATTTCTCCTTCTGAACAATAACAACACCCTGGAGACGTGGATTTGATGAATTTTCATCGTTGGAAACAGAAGAAGCAAAAAAGAAGAAACAAGAGAAGAAGAACACGAAGATTCTCGAGGGAAAAAATCCGAAACTCTGTTTTTTTATGAATGAAGTCAGTTTTTCTATTGTGTTCTTTTGGCAGTTCACTTAACTCCAGGAGCGGGAGGGGATTTTCGAAATAAAGCTACAAAAAGGTGTTACGGGAAGCTTCAGATCAATGTTTGGAAGAAAAAATTGTACAAAACACCGGAGCTGTGGCTCACAACGACAACTACACCTTAAACGTTTTCTTTTCAGAATTAATTCCTCTGGTCCAATTTCAATGCGTGCTGCAGCCAAAAATTCGAAAGTGGGCGGAGCTAAGGTAGCAAAACCCTTAAAGGTACATTTAAAAGAGCATGTATTTTCGTAACTATTTTGAGGCCTAAATTCTATTTTGAGGGATAAATTTTACAATTTTTCGAATGTTTAACGATTTTTCGAATGAAATTTTAACGGTTTTTAACGGCTTTTCAAATAAAAGTTTATGAGATTTACGAAATTCATCGGAAAATCAAAAAAAATTGGTCAGAAAATAATTAGAAAAAATAAGTGACTGTAGATCCCACAATGAAAACTATAGTAACCTAAAAGGATTTTTATTTTCAGTACTTATTATCTCGTTTTTTATAATTTTCGTAAATTTTTTTCACAAAAAAAACTCATAGAAAAAAAGCATTTTCAGGATACGGTAGCTATCGTTTTGGGACCTTTGGCCATATCTACCGCCGTTTCTCACCCACAGCTCCGGTTTTTTTTGTACTAGCGTAATATCTACGTTTCAAAATTTTTGGTTCGCACTTCAAAATTTCACTAACCAGAAGAAAAACATTTGAAAAAGTATACACATATCTTTTCGTGCAAACTGACCAGTCAAACAAAAAAACCAAGAACAAGAGTTTAGCAGATTTCCCTGGGCGGTGCAAATCAAATTTGCACAAACAAAAACAAACCAATTGGTTTTGTTTCTTCTCAGTGTCCCTTCTTCTTTGATTAAATCAGAAATCGGTTAAAAAAACTTACATGCATTTTTGAGATTTTTTAACTTTGGTTTAGTATAAAATCATACAGAAAATAAGGAAGTGAGAAGAAGAAGAAGACTGATTCTAGAGAAACATGCTCATCATCATCATTTTTGCTCAAAAAGACTCTTTTTGTTCTAAAAACCGGTCCCAAAGGATACAGAATGGGCGATATTTCACACGGACTCACTTATATTCCTGACATCGAAACTTCAACGAAAAAACATAGAAAACAGAAAAAAAGGGAAAAAAGTGCAGAAAAAATTCTCCCTAGTTTTATAGGGAACATTTCGCAACTTCTAAATGTTTGCTGTATTCATGGAACCCTGAATTTGAACTTTTGCATAAATATAAGTTACTGTAGTTACCCTGAAATCTGAAAAAGTGGATTTGAGATATCGGAAAAAAAGATTTCACCGGAAGAAACACCTAAATTACTCCAAACGGCACCGCGTCAATTCGAAACTGCGACACTTCGAAACCAGTCATTTCGAAACCAGGGTAGTACAGGCGAATGAATGAATTTGAGACTACAAAAACCAGTTTAGGGTTTTCAAATATGCTTTTTCTAATGGAACACATTTTGAAACTCCAAAAAATTCGAAAAAATAAATTATGGATTTTCTCATGTCTCGAAATTTGTTATATCAGAAAAAAAGACATATTTAGAAACTCTTAAATTGTTTTTGTGGTCTGAAATTCTTCCATTCGCCTGTATTACCACGGTTTCGAAGAGCCCTTCAAACTTACCTTTTTTCAGCCTAGAGCTCAGACAGTATAGTGATCCTCCTAATACCTTAAAAACAGCCTCTTCTTTTTCCCCAAAATGAGAGCTTTCACTTTTTGCAGTAACTCTGCGTCCTTTCGTCTTTAATACTATCTAATTTGAAAGTTTATTTGATGGGTCCTTCCTTCTCCTCCTCCCGAGTCAATTTCCAAATTAATCCCTTTCGACGGAATGCCTTTGGCTCATTTGGGACTGAATTTAGAAAATTGGCTGGGATCATCGAGTGGAGTAGGATAAGGAGGAGGAGAAGAATGATGTTTCATTGGATCAGTTTTGCACTTTTTGAAATTGAGTTAGTAGTGGTTTTCATTTGCGATAAGTGTTCACAGTTTTCAATTTTAAATATTTTTTTTTCCAATTTCAAAAAGTGCCCAGAATTTTTTTTCAAAATTCGTGAAAAAATCAGCGACCGTTAAAATTTATCCTCGCCTTCTGATACTAGACAAAAATACCGTAAAACCTGTATTAAAAGGACCGGTCCTTCTTATACAAACTAATTTAGGGTTTTCAAATATGGTTTTTCTGATCGAACACGTTTTGAAACTGGGGCCCTGAAACTGGGGCCTCAATTAGAGGGGCCCTTATATTAGAGGGGCCCTTATATTTTTTCCGGTCATTTTCTCCAGAAATTTTTCATAGAAAAACTCGGCAAACTCCCGTTCAAAATTCATGAAAATCATTCAATTTCACCAAAATTGAGCAAAATTTTGAGCACAAAAAGTGTTTCAACACACTTTCATTAAATTGTGAAATCTCATATATTTTTCATTAAAACGTACGGAAAATTTAAATTTCAAACAACACCTTTTTTGATGGGGGCCCTCCTATTAATGGTGCCCTTCTAATACAGGTATTACGGTATGCGATACATTTACTATTTTAGTGCGGACTATCAAAGTTTACCTGTATGAAGAACTCCCAAGTTCTGGAACTTATAACAGATTCATTTTTAAAATTTTCCCATATACAGTTTTTCCCAAATTTCAGCAAATTCCAATACATCGTTTTTTGTTCTTCAAATTCAAAAAAACGTTACCTGTTCTCCACTGAGCAACTGATCCAAATCCCATGGATCTGCCTCGACCATTGGGGAATAATCGGTACTTGATATCCCATCGATTATCATTTACTCTGAAGCGAATACATTGTTGTGCCGGGAGCCACCTTCTATGAAAAGACAAAGAAAGATGGGAGTAGAAAAAGAAGAAGAAGAGAAAAGGACAAAACACGTTCTTTAGAGAATTTATGATACCTCATTTTTGGGTGAAATGACATTTTTGAAAAAGGGAAAAAGAAAGGATTGAAAAAATGACGACGATTTTTTGGTAGGGGATTAGAAAGGGGAAGAGTTCAGAAGGTCCAAAAGGTTGGAACAGTAAAATGGAGTCGTTGGTTCCATTGTGTCAAAAAACTGACTTCTGGGTGGAAGAAATTAGCGTGATAGGGCAAAAATAATCATCGGTTACGATGGCGATTCAGATTGAGATCGCGTGCTACTAGAAAATGCTACAAAAAATAAATCACTTCCAGTTTCTGAAAACTTCCAGAAGGTTTTCGAAGCTTTGATTGAAGTCCATCATAAAAAAAAGTATAAACTTTCTAGGTCATTTCTAACATGGGGCCAGATATGCGCCTTCAAAAATTCGCTCGCGAGACGCAGAGAAGCGAGAGTTATCTAACTTCTCTGCGACCCCTTCAAAGTTCAAAGGCGCATAACTCGCTTTAATTTTGAGCTAGAGAAATGTAAAATTTTTAGTTTCGTAGGAAATTTCAAGGGCTTTCGAGTGAAATTACATGTTATTAGCAAAAATAACCAAAGAAAAATAGAAAAATGGAAAACTCGATTGCTGAAAAAAACAACTATCAGTTTTCACCAAGTTGATAATCATCAAAAACCTTCTCCATAAAAATCTAGTTTTCCATTTTTCTATTTTTCTTTGAATGTTTTCTATATCATTCATCAAAATATCTGTAGAGGGCCGGACCATAAAAACCGAATCCTTCTTCTGAAATTACTCCGATAAAAACTCAAATTCCTACTGAAACTGAAAACTGTAGCTCTCGAGAAAAAGTTCAGAGCTTTATGAAAAATTCAGAAACTTCTAGAAGATTTTTTTTTCGGAATTTATTTCGGAGAAAAATTCTGAAAGCCCACAAACTGGTTCGAAATCTAGGGGAAGAATTTCTCTTTGAAGACTTGTCGACATTATTTCATCAGAATCTGACAAGAAGTCCGTCCGAAGTTTTTATTTTTGTTCTGACAGAAAAAAAAACCAAAGAAGAAAAAACTTGAAATTCTCTTTTTCGGAATATTCGAAATGAAGGATCAGTATTCAAATGAAAGGCACAAAACGCTCTCTTCTGGTGGTCCTCTTCTCCTCTGCCCGCAACCAAAACCGTTTATCTGGTTCAATATATCTGGACTCTTTTCCAATTTCCCGAAAAAGAAAAGAAGAGTTTATGAGCAATTTGGAGGAAAGAAGGGGACCCCCTATCATTTCGAAACAGACACATACGGGTAGAAAAAGGAAAAAGGGGAAAACTCTTTGAATCGAATCGAATCTCGTTGTTGTGTTGAGAAGTAGAAAGAAAGTCTCTTTTGGCGATTGGAATACTCTCAAGGGAATTGCTAAAAATGATGATGAAGATGATGATACACCTTGAAGTGAGGATGAAGAAGAAGACGAAGAAAAAAAGAGAGAAGACAAACAACAAACTTTAGTCCGTTTTCGGGAGATATGGTGACATTTGTTCTTTTTAGGAGGAGCAGTTCTTTTGAGAGAAATCGGTTTGAAGGGATTCCGGAATTTCTGCCAGCGGTTGACCCTGATTTGTCTAGAAAAGTAGGATAATTCTCGGCGTTGGCCTGGCAAGGAATGGGACCAAATGTCCTTTGTTTTTAATTTAAAGCGTTTCGAGCGTCGTCGGCAACTTCTGGTCGGAGGTTGGTCAGATTTCAGACAAGACCGCTCATAGAGCCAATAAAAATCTGGCCATGGCCCGCTATAGAGTCGTTGTTGGGCAAGTGACCAATACCTGGCCAATGTCCATCTAAAAGCCAAACTTCCCTCAATTTCTGACTAAAATTCACAAGTCATAAGTCGAAGTGTCAAAAATAGAGTTTCAGATACAAATTGGGAGTTTTCTACCAATTTTGCAACAATAGAGGTTACCCGAGATCCCGCGAATTCTGAGGGAAGTATTTTCGCTTGGAAAAGTTCCACCGAAAAAAGGGCAGAGTCAGGGGCGGAGTTTGAATTGCAGCCCTGGCACGGTTTTGCCGCACGAGTTCTCTTGTCCAAATTTTCCTTGCGACCGTTTCCAAAAAAACTTGCAGCAAAACCGTGTCAGGGTTGCAATGTAGGCTCCGCCTCCTGACTGCAGAATTTCTGACTCAATCATTAAAAAAACATAGTATCTAATATGCAAGACAAAAAAGAAATAAGATTTGGAAAAAAAAAGAGGAAACAAGTAGATTTGAATCAGAAGGAAATAGAAACTGACCCTTTTCTCCTCCCCCTGAAATGAGCAGAAGGTGCTCTCAGAAAAAAAAGAGAAAAAAGGGAGTGAAGAAAAAAAGAAGATTGAAATTAAGCAAGTTCTGGTTTAGTGCATCAATTTGAAATTGAAATTGAAATACACACACTCAAATAGAGAGAAAAAACGAAATTTTGGCAAGACACTTTCGGTTAAAACTTGAAATTAGAAATTATGCAGAACTTTTCCTGATGATGGACTTTGAGAAGAGTCGAGTGTTGCGAATCGGCTCAAATTTTTTTCATCATCTTATAGAGCAACTACTTCATCAAATACTCAAATACTTTATTCACTTCCAAGAAAACATTAAATTACTTTCCTCCTGGCTTTGGAGCACCGATGATGATTCCGGATCCATATCCTCCATTGCCTCCGCACTTCTTTCCTCCTCCAATATTGATGATTCCAGAAACCGATGAGATGGCCAAAACGGCGAAAACGAAGACAGAATAGACGTTCATAGTTGAAGAAGAGAAGGGGTAGCTTCTGATGGAGATTGAGGCGCTTGAATGGTTATTTTATACCAGTAGAAACGGTGCTAAAGTTTTATGGTCAACAGGAAAAAAAGTTGTTTCCTGAAAAAAATTGATTCGGTGAAGTGAGAAGTTTGATCGCGTTTTCTACTAAGGAGGTAGGAAAACATTTTATGAGCAATCGGAAGCATATAATCTATACGTTTTATTGTCTTGGAAAAACAGGGACATTGGTTCGGTGATGTTTGAGCTTGAATATGAAAGACGATGAATTCAGATTTTTTGAGAACGAAAACTTCAATGTATACATTTTATCCAGACTATCCAAACAATCTCTAAATCCGATACTGTAATATATTAATTTCTGGGTGTTTGGTGGGATTTTCTAAACGAAATTGAGATTTCTTATAGGTATAAAAATGATCTCAAGCATCTTTAGGGTCTGTTTATCATCGAAAAACCAAACAGAATTGCGAAAGTGGTTCGAACGAGGCGAAAGTCTGAAATATTTCTAGAATAGAAAAACTGTTTTCAAAACGTTTATTTTTCATGCATTAATGCTTCCCTGAATTGTGTGATTCAAGACATATTTTTGTAGATTGTGACTCATAATCTAGTCATGAAACACGTATTTTATTTTACCTGCCAACTAATCGTAAAAAATACTCGACACATCTTGGCTATTCTTAAATTTATCACCATTCACAGCTCTCGATTCGTGAAGATATTCGGAGCGATTTGGAATGTCGAAAAATAGTTCGTTACTTGTGCATGTGTTCCTAAAACACCATTTTTTCCAGATCGCCGCACATCAAGAGCTCGTCCACGTACCGGAACCACTGAACGCAGTCAGAAGTCGACGGTACTCGATGAGCCAACAACAATCGAGAGAAAACAACAAAAGAAACAAATTCTGAAATTTGTGGCTCGCACTCTCGAAAAGATGCCTCAAGGTCTTCGTGCCGAGTTCTCCACTATGAAACGCTTCAATGATTTTGAAAAGATGAAAGCGTTCAAAGAAGCTCAAGAAGCTGGCAAAAATCGCTACAAGGATGTCGGATGCTTGGACAACAATCGTGTCAAACTCTCTTCTCCATGGCCCCACGAATACATCCACGCGAACTACGTGGCAGTTCCAACGAATCCAAAACGCTTCATCTGTACCCAGGCACCGTTGGAGAAGACGTGCGCCGACTTTTGGTTCATGTGTCTTCAGGAAAAAGTTGAATTCATCTTCATGCTTTGTAATTTGCTAGAGAAGGGATCCAAGAAGTGTTATGAGTATTATCCAAACAAAAAGAAGGATGTACTAGAGTTTGAGGAAGGCGGGCAGAAGATCACTGTCAAGTTTCAATCTTCGAATACGGTAACAGTTTTTTTTCTGTAAGAGCTTTGTAAAAATTGAGATTCTTGAATTTAGTTTCAATTCCGTGGAGCTGAGAGCAAAGCAAAGGTAGTTGCCACAGAGGTTTTGATCGAGGGTCCCGGTGGAGAAACTCTAAAAACCACTCACTATCACTGGAATGACTGGCCGGATCGTGGTGTTCCAGCAGCTGATATGGCAATTCTTGAACTGCTCGATCAAGCAAGACCATCTAAAGGACCAATTGTCGTTCATTGCTCAGCTGGAATTGGTCGTACCGGATCAGTAGTCATGCTGGAGTACGTGATGGATCAACTGATTTCCGGACAGACCATTGAGGATGGCGACAAGATTCTGGTGAAGATCCGTGAACAGAGAAATAATTCTATTCAGGTAATTGTTATTTCAAGACTATATCATGACTCAATTCTTGCAGACTGACGCCCAGTACCTCTTCGTTCATCAAGTTATCCTAAATTATTTCCGAAAAAAGAGATTGATGGAAGAAGCAGGAGTTCAAGAAGCTCATGATGCTTTCATTGAGCAATACAAAAAGTCTGTTGTTTAGAAAAACACGATAAATCGTCGAAGAAACAGTTTAGTATAGATATTGAGTGAATTGATTATTTTTTGTAGTGAATGAAGTTTTCATGATATTTTATGTTCTTACCTTTCTCACTAATATATTACCTACCGTCCTACTTTGAGCCAAATTATCTCTGATCCTGTCAAAGATACAAAAAAGTTGTCAACTGATAAATTGTTATCCATAATATCAAAAGTCTTTTGTCAATTTTTTCGTCATCGTATATAGCAACTACTTTATCAAATACTCAAATATTTTATTTATCACTTCGAAGAAAATATCAAATTACTTTCCTCCTGGCTTTGGAGCTCCGATTATGATTCCGGATCCATATCCATTTCCACCTCTTCCGCACTTCTTTCCTCCTCCAATATTGATGATTCCAGAAACCGATGAGATGGCCAAAACGGCGAAAACGAAGACAGAATAGACGTTCATAGTTGAAGAAGAGAAGGGGTAGCTTCTGATGGAGATTGAGGCGCTTGAATGGTTATTTTATACCAGTAGAAACGGTACTAAAGTTTTATTGTCAACAAAAAAAAAGCTCAACATGACCCTTCAATGTGTGAGTAAAGTGGTCATTCTCTCTACCGTCAATAAGCTGATACGGCTAGAGATGGCAAAACTGTAGCTCAAGCGCACGCGACATAGTGAGCATCTTGAGAGGTCTTCTCCGACGAGACGCCGTTTGCCTCAGAGTTGGAGTCCGACTTCCAAAATCAACAAGTGTTAGCTCAGACATCCCGGCAAGCTTTTTAGAAAGGCCGGGTCATCCGAACATTTCTCTGCTCATGTTTTTTGGAGCATTGCTCAATTTTCGATATTTCACTTCTTTTCGTCGATAAGGGTGTCGGTTCGAGACTCATTTGCAAGTCTCAACTCGCATAGAAGAATGGTCTGATTTCTCGACGGATTTAAGTTCGCTCCACTTTTTCGTGTTGGGATTTTGCGAAGCAAGAGTAACGCTAAATCTAATCCAAATTTGGAGCCCTGAAAAATTCCTTGGTGGCGGTATGGAACCTTTTGACCTGCGTGCCACAGTGGATGCCCATCCGAGACGTTTTCACGCTGTCATCGGTCGGAAGAGGGACCAGGTGGAGCAACTCTTGATGATAATTACGTTTCTATCACATCGATAGAAACCCTGTAAAGTTTCATGCTTCTCTGACTTTTAGTTTTCGAGTTACACCATCTCAAACTATTGCGGGTAATTAACAGCCACCCTGTATATAGCTGAAGGCCCAAACATGTGATTCAGCAACAGTCAAAATGACACAAACTTACCGCCTAAATAACTTTTTACTGGGCCAAATTTTTCTTATGATTTTGGAATAATTATCTAATTTGTTGATTGATAACGTTAAATAATTATGTTTTGTCTTTTATATTTGGGATCTGAGCACATTATTCAGTCAGGATTTGCTCAAATGGAGACGCATGAGGGGAACTAGGGCCAGATCATGTTTTTAAATGAAATAAAATGCAATTTGATTAAAAACATTATTGAAATGCACAATATGATCAATACAAAACAAAACAATAAGAAAAATTTGGTCCAGTAAAAAATTATTTAGGTGATAAGTTTGTGTCATTTTGACTGTTGCTGAATCACATGTTTGGGCCTTCAGCTATATAGGACCTAATTATTTCGTAGTAACCAGTCTCTACAAACAATTTAATATATCAAGCATTTTCCAGAAAACAAAACTTAACATGCTAGAAAACTTTGAAAAAATGTTCCAGTTTTTTAGGAGGTTGTTGCTCCCCCTACGGGGTAGCAACCTGGATATATTTGTTGCCCATAAGCTCTGGTGTGATAGAGCTTACGGACTCACTCTTGCCAAGCTCTACAGTCACTCAATGCACCAAGGAAGCGCCCCTAGACGTGCCAAGCTGCCCACAGGAGTCTGCGTCTCTCACTTCGAATGGTGGAACGACGAACAATTAAAAACATTAAATTGAACCGCGTCGAAGGCGCACCAACTTGCTGGTTCTATATATTTTCCCAAAAAGCAAAAAAACGAAAAAAAAGAAAGCACTGGGCGGGAGTCGAACCAAAATTCGAAAAAAATCAGTGGAAAGGGAAGAAAAATTTCACGTTTTGGAAAAAAAAGTTTTTTTGGTAAAAAATTGGAGCAAAGAGGATCTCCCTGGATTTTTTGCATATAAGGGAAGAGAGAAACAGTGAGAATCAGTCAGTTCTCCAGCTTCAGCTAGAGAGCCGAAGCTGGAGCTCTGGGATCCGGAGCTCTGGGAGCCGGTGCCCTGGGAGCCGGAGTTCTGGGTGCCGGACCTGGAGCTCTGGGAGCTGGTGGAGGTGGAATCGGAGCTGGTGGAGGTGGAATCGGAGGATCGGAGCTGGTGGAGGTGGAATCAGAGCTGGTGGAGGTGGATTCGGAGCTGGTGGAGGTGGAATCACAGCTGGTGGAGGTGGAATCGGAGCTGGTGGAGGTGGAATCGGAGCTTGTAGAGGTGGAATCTGAGTTGGTAGAGGTGGAATCGAAGCTGGTGGAGGTGGAATCGGAGCTGGCGGAGGTGGCATCGGAGCTGGTGGAGGTGGAATCAGAGCTGGTGGAGGTGGAATTGGAGCTGATGGAGGGAGGTGGAATCAGAAATGGTAGAGGTGGAATCGGAGCTGGTGGAGGTGGAATCTGAGTTGGTAGAGGTGGAATCGAAGCTGGTGGAGGTGGAATCGGAGCTGGCGGAGGTGGCATCGGAGCTGGTGGAGGTGGAATCAGAGCTGGTGGAGGTGGAATTGGAGCTGGTGGAGGGAGGTGGAATCAGAAATGGTAGAGGTGGAATCGGAGCTGGTGGAGGTGGAATCGGAGCTGGCGGAGGTGGCATCGGAGCTGGTGGAGGTGGAATCAGAGCTGGTGGAGGTGGAATTGGAGCTGGTGGAGGGAGGTGGAATCAGAAATGGTAGAGGTGGAATCGGAGCTGGTGGAGGTGGAATCGGAGCTGGTGGAGGTGGAATCGGAGCTGGTGTTGTAATTAAAAATACAGGAGAGAAAATTCTTGGAAAAAAATGTTTCTGAATGGTTTGATATTTTTTCTTATATTCAATCTGAATTCAATGAAGTTTTTGGGATTTCGAAATTATCTGATTTCTTTGGAATGTTTTGTAATTATGGTTTTTTTTTAAATTTCTGTTATCCTAGAATTTCAAAAAAAAAACTCTGAGGCCCCAAATAACCAAGAAGAGCCGGATAGCCTTACATTTTTCTGAATCCAAGACTGTAATTATGTTCGAAACGATTGAGAACAAAAATGATGAAAACTGGAAATTGCGAAAAATTTAGAATGTTACACCACCAAGATCTTTCTGACCTGTGAATAGAATGAGGTAAAATGAGGAATTTCCGAATAAACTTCGCATAAATCAGGGGTTTCTGAATTTAAATTGTATCAACGTTTCGATACGAAGCAAACGAGAATGGGAGAAATCGCTAGTATTTGCAATATTTATTCAACTGTTTTACAATTGGCAAGAAGGCGAGAATCGATGAGACAGAATACCGAAAACAAGAGAAAGTATGTGTATTCTCAATTATTTACTCAAGAAATATAGGTGGTTCGACAAAATGAAAAGAAACAAACATTTCCATATCAATGACTATTTTCAGGCATCCGAATTCCTCAAAATTCGAAATTTTTGTTTTTTAATTCACTGCGATTTTTGTATTTTGGCCTAAACAATCAATTGTATTTCTGGCGAAACGAACTTCGAAATAAACAAAACAGCCACTCCAAGTCTGGTCGCTATGGATATCCGTAAAATGCATTTTAAAATGGCTTTTCTCAAAAGCAACTCAGATTTCCTTTGGAAAATGTATGCCCTTTTATGTTGTTTTTTTCCGATTTCTTAGAAATTTTTAGTTTTCCTTCCATCGTTCACCTAGTTGTGAACTACCCGTCTTTTTATCAATAAGGAATCATTTATTAACAGTGCATTGCAGTGTTATTTGTGTTACCGCCAACAACCTTTGCGTCTCCCCGTCGTGCAACACTCTCTCGTCGAAAAGCAAATGCGCTCTAATGCCAATCGAGATTTTCCCAATTTTTTTCAATTTCGAATCAACCTATTTTTCTCTTGTTTTTAACTTAATTTCTCTTATTCTTCGTCCAAAGAAACGTCCGAAATTATTTAGTGCTGCTTCTAATTATTTTCTCCATGACGTATTGTCTAACAACTGTGTGTTTTCTTGTTCAAAGCAGCCATTATAGGACACCTTCAATATTCATCGATTTTTCTGTTAATTCTGTCAAAAACTTGAAAAATTTTCGGCAATTTATTTGTTTTCCAGAGTCCGAAAAATGGGCAAGCGCAATCTTGATGAGACCATGAACGAGTCGGCAGTTTCAGAGATCGCCGAAGACGTCGCGGCCCTGACCACCGAGAAAGATGAGTATCAAGCACTTTGCGAGCTGGTATGTTTTTGATGTCAGTGCATTTTATACATGACGAATATTTTTAGGTAAACCCAATCGCCCAACCACTAGCCAACCGCAAACTGGCAAAGAAGGTGTACAAGCTCATCAAGAAGGCAGCTGCCGGCGAGAAAACTCTTCGCGAGGGTATCAAAGATGTCCAGAAGGAGCTGCGCAAAAACGAGAAAGGAATCTGCATTCTTGCAGGTAGGCTCATTTCTATCATCTTGATTGTATTCATCGAATATGTTTTCCAGGAAACGTTTCCCCGATCGACGTCTACTCGCACATCCCAGCGATCTGTGAAGAAAAGGAAATCCCATATGTGTACATTCCATCTCGCGAACAGCTCGGACTAGCCGTCGGTCATCGTCGTCCATCCATTCTGATCTTCGTCAAGCCAAGCGCTGACTTCCAGGAGCTCTACGACGAGGTCGCCGAGACTCTCCACCATCTCACTGTTGATGCTGCCTAAATCTCATTGTTATGTTGTTCACATTGTTGAGTTTTTTTCCATGCAAATTTTTGTTTTCCTTCAATATTTTATCTTCCAATTTGACCTCATTCATTTTGTTTACTTCCAATAAACTTGTTGTTTTTGATTGAAAGTTTTTGGATGCCATTATGTTCACTAGCTCATTTTCAGTATCGGTTCGTCTGACAAGAAAATCACTCCAAAAAGCACTTGTTTCAGCGAAAAAATGATAGCGGGAACACTGGTAGCCCCAGGAGACAAAGTTCTCGATAGAATAGGCGATTACAAAATGGGAAATGGTTTGTACGAAACGAACAGACGAATCTTCTCTTCTATCGCCGGATTCGTTAATGTTTACGGATTCAGAGATGTGCGTACACAGAAATTGGTCCTTAAGCCATTGAACTTGTTACTTTCAGAAATCCGATAATCTGATTCAAGTAATAGAAGTGCGACGGAGTGAAGATCAAATGGATAATGAGCTCCTCCCATTCAGCGGAGCCGTAGTTACAGCAAAAGTAATGGCTGTTGGCTTGAGGTTTGCAAAATGTGATATTATCAGTATCGGTGATAAAGTCTATAAGAAGAGATTTTCCGCGTTGTTACCCAAGAAGAAATTGAGACCGCTTGAACCGGAATTGGTAAGTTTTGTCTTCTCACATGGTTCGAACTGCTGTGGTATGCTGTGGCGCTCCAATGCGGTGACGTGGCAAAGTTCTAGACCCATGAAAAAAGTGATTTTGAGATGGAAAATCAACTGAAAAATGCAAGAAATTTGAATTTTTAACGGTCACTTAATAAAGCACAACAATATGTCACAGCAGAACCCTTGTGTTCCCTACAGGAGGTGATTTGTAAATTTTGAGCATTTTTTCTAATTGCGACCTAAATATTTCGGAATCTAAAATTTTCTCAGCTCGCATTTTAACACCATTGCACGCCATTTCAAAGAGCCTGGTCAGAAAACGCGCCCCATCGAACGTGAAAAATCACTGCTCGACGTGTCAAATTTCGTTGACTGAAGACCAAACTTTTAAACGTTGAGAAAAAAAAATCGCGAGTTGCAATGCGTTGATTAAAAAAATATATAAATCGAATCCACGTCAACTTTGAAATTATTAAATTTCGTTCAGCCTAAAAGTTATCTGGGATGCGATTTTCGACCCGCTGCTTTGAAACACAGTGCATTGTGTTTCCCGTACTGGGTTTACCCTAAAAACACCAAATTACGAGCTAATTTATCAAAATTCGAAAAATTTTCGCGACCTCAAAAAAACCCTAAATTTACAAAAACTCCTCATGTATGTATGTTTACAAAAAACTCCTTGTTACAAAGGTTTCGAAATTATCATATTTCAGAGTGACCCATTCAAAAACTTTGTCCGACCGAACGACTACATTCTTGCCAAAGTTTGTGAAGACGCTGGAATCAAGGACAAATTCGTACTATCCATCGCAGAAGATGAACTCGGAGTTGTGCTGTGTCGTGGAAAGTTTGGAGAGCCAATGAAAAAAGTGGATTGGAATACAGTAGTCTCTACAAGAACCGGCAAGACGGAACCGAGGAAAATGGCAAAGGTGCCGCAAAAGTGTATGCTGCCAACCGATTCAATGGAAACGAGTGCCTAGTGGCTGAATAGATGTTTGATTCTTCCCACTACGTTTTTGCACTTTTTGAGATCTTATTTCTATTGTTCAAAAAACGATAATTACACTGCTTTCCATTGTTTCCTTTTGTTTCTATACTTTTCGCATTCCGATTCATTTTATTCTGCTGTTACTGAATTCCTCGTTGTTTTTTCTATTTTTTCCATCTCTTATGAAAAAAATCAAAGCTTTATCGATTATGTTCCCCAACCATTGCAAAACCAATTTTCCACTCTCTGATCATCTACAAGAAATGATGTTTTTTTGATGTTTCGTCGTCTCCCAGATTCCCCTGCGCCATCATCACTAAAACGAGGACCCCACTTTCATGAATTTTGTGTGTTTCGGAACGGAGGACGAGAGTCGTAGAAATGGAGCGAAAAAGGGGGTGGCGCCTAATTCAAAATGCATTGAGGATGAGCTGTGAAAAGAACCATCTGAAAACGAAGAAAGAAGGAGAAGAGCCCTCTTCTCTTTTTTCTACAAAAAGCAAAGAGGTGTCCTATTTTCGTTGGAATCACTTTGTTTTTTCTTTTTTCTAAAAGCAGTTTTTAGTTTTGCAAAGGGGGTACTGTAGGTTATTATTCCGGCTCAAGAAATCTCAGCTCTGGCAGAAAAACGCCGGTGGCCGGGCCGAAGGTCCCACTACGACAACTACCGTAAACTAAAAATACTGTAAAATCTGTATCCGGCTATTTTTTCTGAAATTTTTCAACAGGAAATTCGGGTTTTCAATTTTCAGTGAAATTATGGAATTTCCGGGATATGTTTCACTGAAAACGAACAGAAATTTTCAATTCCTATTAAACGACACATTTTGAAGGGGTCTCTTCTATTACAGGGGCCCTTGCATTGTTCCAAGCCCCTCTCAGAGGGCCCTTCAATTAGAGAGGTCATTCTATTGAAGAGTACAGGTTTTCCGATATTTTTATTTTGCGAATTTATTTTCTCGTCATATTTTTGACTATCAAAAGGCTCAATTTCCCGATTTTTTTTCGGGGAAAAATAACAGAAAAATCGACGAAAGTCAGTAGCAAACGCGAAAAAAATGTATATATTTAGGTTACTGTAGTTTTCGTTGTGGGACCTTCTGCCACTGTTTCTTTTCCACAATTCCGACTCTTTATACCAGAATAATAAACGAAATCCCTCTTGAAAATCGGAAACCATTTTTATCGCTACTTTTTCACCCTATATCAATATTATCCAGGTGTGAAACACAATCTAATATTCCTTTTCCTAATCTGATTGCTCATTCTTGTTTATCAAATCAGCGCCCAAATCATATTTTCCAAACCGAATCGATTCTTTTCCGATTTTCTAGTGCCACGACACTCAGCCGAACAATTCAAAATCGCACCTCCGATTCCTCAAAACCGGACAATTATGAGGTGAGTGCAAAAAGACAAAAAAGGTGTCAAATTTTGGATTTCACATAAATCCGTCACGATTGAATGTGTTGTGTTTCCATGGTAAGCATGGAGAAGACGAAGATGTCGAACCCAAGGTTTAGAAGAGCTTCAGAATAGAACAAATATTTTCTGTGTATTATGCATTCGTCAGAATGTCATTTCAGTCATCAAGCAACCCATTTTGGGGTCAAGAAAAAGTGGAAAGCCAACGGAACAAATGGGACAAGTGCGGGAGGATTGTCAGCATTCGCTAGAATGAAACGTAAGTTAGAAGAAACACACTCGACATGTGTAGTATTGGAAAAACAGTGGGACATTTCTTAACGTATTTTTCTAATAGAAGCCCGCCCAACTTCAAGTTCAATTGTCTCGATTCCTGTGAAAGATATAGAAAATTTGTCAACTGGTAAATTATTTATCATAAAAGCATAAATGTTTTATCAGTTAACAGTTCTTTGATATCTTTCACAGAAATAGAGATGATTCAGATCAAAGTAGACGGCTTGGGTGGGCTATTATTAGAGGAAATACGGTATACGCGTATACTTTGAAGTTTTGAAGACATAGGTAGGAAACATCGGATAGCTTTGAAAAGTCCAAAAATCTGCATTTTTGTATTTATTGAATCAATCATATCTTGTGGAGATAATTGAGACAGTTGAAAGTTGCATGTCATTTCGGGAAAATTAAACTGTTTGAAAAGTTCAACTACAGTAAGACGCCTATTTTACTTACTGAAGGATTTTGTACAATTCCTTTTCTTTCAATATTTGTTTTTTTTGGGGATGGGCATCCTATGCTGTGGTCTTTCAATATTTATTTCCATTTCTAAAAGCAGAACTATTGTCTTTTGATCCAGCGTGCCACTCAAACCGCCAACTTTGAGCCCAAGAAACTGTTTTTCAGAAATTCTCATTAGCATATATTTTAGACCAATATATTTTAGTATGTTTTCTGTCAGCAACATGTTCATTTTAGTCTCCAGACGGCTCCTCCGTTCTTTCGAAAAGCAATTCTCTCATTTTTTTGTTTAAAACTTTGAAAACTCATAATGACTTCTAAACCAGGAAGTCCTAGAGTTACTTTTTCCCATTCTTCTATCTTCCATTTTCTTCTTCTTCTTCTTCTCCTCTGTAGCATCATCCCCCTTTTATTCTTCGTCCCATTTTTCGATTCTTTTAACGTACTATAATATGTATTTGATCGCCCTGGTCACTCCGAAAATGGAAACTATTCTTTGCACGTCATCATCTTCCTTTTTTTTTGAACGAAAATGTTTAGCACCAACAGAAAAATTGGCTAGTTTTTTAAGGAATGGGTTACTGTAGTTTGGAATCTTGAAAACTTAATAAAGAAAAGATTCTTTAGATTTTCTCAAGTTCTGGGAAAGTTCAGAAAAAATAATCCCACCCTTATACGGAAAAGATCATCGAACAAAATGTTAAAGAAGCTTTTTAAGAAAGGAAGAACGTTTGTTATATTCATGAGGACATGATGGGGTTGAGCCAAGAACAAGTGATTCAGAGAAAGATACCCATTGGGGATGATGACGTGGTTTTAAGAAACGTAGTTTCTAAAATTCAAATTGATCATCTTTTTTTATATTG